GATCAGCCCAGAGGTTGTTTCAGGGTTTAATCTGTGAGTTAGCCATGCCCTGACTTAAATCAGCCCAGAGGTTGTTTCAGGGTTTGATAAATTTAAACTCCAAAATAATCAATGTTCTTGCATAAATTCGCGATGGACATATTCTTATTCGCAAGCCGAACAAAGCAATTGCAATCTTAATCCGCCTAAAAGCGATGATACCTTCATGAAGTCCAATGTCCCACCTTCTACCGCCTTAAAACAACACCCACAAAACATCAGCCATATCATAGTATCGCCAACACATCTGAGCCGATTAGACTTGAGCAAAATTATGTGGAATATATATACACGCCTGGGGGTGTTCAACCTATATCGAGGTAGGTATTGATCAGTGCTTTGTCTAGTATCAGTAAATAAATAAATAGGATTTAGCGGTGGAATTCCAAAAGTCGTTTCTCATCCTCTTATTCCAAATTTTAGAGGTTGACTTTTGCAGACATGAGGAAAACGCTCGAAAAACAGCAGAAAATCAACTCAACAAACAACTCTACTCACGGCGGGACTCGAACGCCGAGAGGCGAGCGTACTTCCCTAATGCTAAGATAATTGAGATATGATGATTACTCACGAATAAGTGCGGGGAAACCCCAGGGAAAAAATATCGTCGTCGGAAATTTAAAAAAAATACACCTAAAAGATAACGGAAATCTTCTAAAAATGCATGGCTGGGCGATTTTTAACCCCACAAATGTATTCCATGTGTTGAAAAAATGTAATGTCTGAGTTTGGAAGAGCTAAGCGAGACGAAAGGGGGAGCGTCTTCCTCCGCTACACTACGCTGACCTTGATTCCTAAGACAGCATTTAATAAAGGTTGATCGGTTTATAGGTAGTCGAATTGTCAGAAAAATCCTTCTTTGAGGATATTGCAATCTTATAATTTAGTTCATAGCAATAAAAGAAAGTTAAATTAGGAAAATAGCTGAAATGATCTGAGTTGGGGGCAGGTGTTAGCCGACCTTGATCATCTCGTATCGGCGAGGAAAAAGACTCATTATATCGTATGAATAAAAGTATTATGTTTACTGAGCGAAAATACAGTACGTCCTGTAATAAAAAGGATGTTGATTCGGATTGGAAATCATTACTAGTTTTGATCAAAGATTTATACTGAATCATAGAATCCTCGGAGGGAGAGCTGTAGTCATATTGTCATATTTTGATCTTCAGTTTGTCAAAATTTAATAAATTAATTGCAATGATGACCCACATCAAACAGGGGAATTTGAATCATTCAGAAATAATGAGAAAATCATTTAAAAACTAACAAACAAATACCTGACAAATTAAAAATCAAATTCAAAACGTCTAAAGCAATCATGGCGGAGTGTTTTTCACCATAATCAGTTTGTTATATTATAACTCCAACTTTTCTTCATTAAAAGCTTAATAATCCCAGGCTGTTAGGAAAGGAAGTATGGATTCTGTTTCTTGACAAATTGAGGTTGATTATTCTTAATAAGCTATACAGATAGTCAGAATAGCAATTATCTTTTATCTATCTGTCTGGTACCTAAATCTGAAATCCTTTATTGGATTGGAATCTCGTTTACTGCCCATAAAAAACGTATAAAAACGACGAACTCGTCTGTCACGTATTCATCTATAGAACTAGTTGTACTATTCGGAACTCAATCGTATACTTCCGAATAGAAAAGTTTTTAACGTTGAAAAGCTCTTAGTTTAGGCAGGATTTTATAACGTCCTGTCCAAGCTTGTGAAACTCGTGAACAATTTTAGAGGCGACAAGAGACGCCTACTTTAAAATATTTTCGGACGAAACGAGGTTTGCTTTCACAAAACGAGATAATTCAATAAAAATCGGAATTAAAAAAAAAAAAAAAAAAAAAGGATTCGCAAACGAATTGTGTTTATCTACCGAGGGTATATATGTTGATATAAATGGGCGGTGATTTGTTGCGGACACACGCATCATGATGACACAGTGACAGGAAGTGCTGCCCGACACCAAATGACTTATCTATGCAGCTAAAATACCCATATCCATTGGCTTAACGTACAACAATGTAATATCCACTAATCCACTGATTTGTTTGCTTAGGCTTTTATAGCGAACAATGAAAATGAAACTGAGAGTTATAAGTCAAGATCACGAACTTCATAGAATCGAACTCTCTCCGATTGGAACAACACCAGAGATCACTGAGCGCTGAACGTCTTACTAAATCGGCTGTAGAAAAATAGTTGACATGAGTTGATGTACGTCGATCTGAACTCAAATAATTAGGTATGTATTGCCATATCACCGGTTCTAAATCAGGAATGAGTCGTCTTTTTGTTATTTAGTTTTTAGGGGTTTTAAATATTTAATTAAATGGTCGACGAGATAAGGGCGCGCGCGTGGCCTGTTGTCAAAAATGGCGGGAAAATGGCAGTACTAGTTATTACTGTTTTTTTGCTTCGTACCGTAAATGCACTTGTCTAACTTGTCTTAGAATGGATATGTATTTTCTCTTTATATAAGTTCTTTACCGAGGTTTTCATACTGAGTTAGGCAGCCACTTTTCTATTCATCAAGAATTCGTTATATTTTAAAACTTAATCGTCCTAATGCGAACAAAGAAGTACTCAGGTTTTTATCATTCTTGTTATTCTTTGTTTTCTGAGAATCTACAACTCGCTCACCACCTTAGTCTGGTAGTCTCATAGTCGGGGTTGTTGAATCTTGTATAATGCTCGGTTGAGGTATAAAGCCCTTACTTTGAATAGAGTTTTATTTAAAGCCGATTAAACGGATGAAAAATACAGAATGGGTTTCTATAAGAAACTTTGATATTGAGAAGAAATTAAGTAGTAGGAATCTCTCATGATAGGAGATAAATCAGACGTAATAGAGACGATTCGCAAGAAGAGAAGAGAAGAGAAGAGAAGAGAAGAGAAGAGAAGAGAAGAGAAGAGAAGAG